TATATATATATATATATATATATATATATATATATATATATATATATATATATATATATATATATATATATATATATATATATATCATATTATTATATTATATTATATTGTTTTATATTATATTATATTATTATACTTATTATGGTATATTATATACCTAAATATTTCATCTGGAATGATTTGGAGTCTTCTTAAAGTTGGCCTAAAAAATAAAATTTGTGTATACGTAGCCATCGTCAAATAATAAGAGTTCAGTACATGGAAATGGCTATATAGCTTCAAACCCCATTGTTTCCTCGTTCTCATGTAAAACATGTGAGTGTAAAGCCCTGGTGAAAAACAGGTCTATCAGAAAACAAAACAGACTGTTGCGTTGCTCTGGGGATATCCATAAGCAAGGCCTTAACGTTTGCATGGTCTTCAGTTCACATTCTACGTCATCTGGAGATCATCAGTCAAAATAGACTGATATGTTGCACACGGGATCGTTTATGAGCATGGCCTAGGCTGCGTTAACTTTCTAATTATGTGGGCCTTTTATTTTGAAAAGAAAATGGCAAAAAGCCAGCCACAGCAGATTGATTCTTTATGTGTTGCTGTGCAACGACACCACTAGACATCTCTTCACATGCGCGTGAGGACGCAAAATCCAGGATATACGGATTAAACTGATTATATTGGTATTTAATGGGGTAATACATATTATTGTGATCCTATTATGAATTTTTACATTTTTAATTTTTAATTTTAAAGTTTAATAAAAGTTCATATCATTAAACTTTTATAATATTTTGATCAAATGAACTCTCAGTATAACCACTGTGGGAATATAAATTTATATTTATATAATTTATATTTATAAAAGTTGTTTCCAGGGTGTGACAGACCTTAAAATGTCTTGGTTTTCCTGAACCCTGTCTGTCTCCAAAGTAATCCAAAGTAATGCAAATTGTCAGTTTCACAGCATGGTTGTGTCTATTGTTTTCATTTTTTGATCAACTGGTCAGGCGGTTTCTGTCTCCAGAACATGATGAGACCAGGCCTGAAAAAGCAGTTTACCCTGCCGACCACAACCCTTCATTTGCATGCTTTGGTTAACTGTCCCCACCTACATGTATCAAACTGTATAAATGTATAATGTTTGCTGTGCAGTTTAAGAGTTTGCTTTCGATGATGCCACAGCCACGCTGAGTTCCTCTTATTAAAAAGGATTATGCTTTGAAGACAACCGAAAGATTCTCCCTGGTTTTTTGGGCTCTTAGAAGTTTACAACACAATGTTGTTCCGCATTTTTGAGTATTATTTTAAAACAAGTGACATACCTGCAGACTCTTTTTTCCATATGCTATTCCCCGTCCATAGATGGCACTAACCAGTTCAGGATCTCCCTGAGGTGACAGAAAACAGTACTTTTAAGTATACACTATTATTATTATTATTATTATAACTACAATAATATTATTACATTACAGGAAATTCAATGTAAAATCTAAATCATGAAATGTGTGCAAAACACTGAGGTTTCCAAAATAAGAACAGATAACAGTTGAACAGTAACAGTTGAAAGGTCAACAACAGACACTTTGTCATGTGACAATGCGAAACAGCTGATTTTTTTGAGCATTTAATAAAAGCATATATTACAGTATATACATAAGTACCTGTTTATTTTGTACTGATGATAAAACAAGCAAAAAGGCTTAGATAAAAACAAGCTTAAAAAGGTTATGTCAACTAGCAGCCTAAAATGATGTTAGTTGAAAACATCTTAGATTTAATTATGCATAAAGTTGCAATCTATAAATCAAAAGAACTTCACAAGTCACCTAAAATGATAAAAAAATCACTATTTATTTATAGTAGGGAGTAATTTATAGTAGGGAGACATAGAGGTGCAGTAGGTAGTGCTGTCGCCTCACAGCAAGAAGGTCGCTGGGTCGAGCCTCGGCTCAGTTGGCGTTTCTTTGTGGAGTTTGCATGTTCTCCCTGCATTCGTGTGGGTTTCCTCCGGGTGCTCCGGTTTCATCCACAGTCCAAAGACATGCAGTACAGGTGAATTGAGTAGGCTGAATTGTCTGTAGTGTATGAGTCTGTGTGTGAAAACCTGTGTGTGGATGTTTCCCAGAGATGGGTAGCGGCTGGAAGGGCATTCGCTGTGTAAAAAACGTGCTGGAGAAGTTGGCGGTTCATTCCACTATTGCGATCCCAGATTAATAAAGGGACTAAGCCAACAAGAAAATGAATGACTGAATGAAAAATTATGGTTTGCATAAAACAAAAATGAAGCACTGCAGTTATATTAAGTTGCAAAAATAGATGAAGATATATAATAGATATTAAAAAAAAAGTTTTATAAGGGGTTTAAACACTATTGTGTGGCAACAGTGTGTGAATATAACCAACCTCTAATGGTAAAAATGCATTAATTCTATCTTTTTATTGATGTCACTTTATAAAAGCAGTCTGCAGAAACACAATGATTGGCATTCTCACATTCTCGCATGTGTCATCAGAGGGGGAAAACCACGCCCATTATTGACAATTTCGCCCTCGTTAGCATAAGCAGCCCTGAGTTAGAAGCAGCTGAACGCCACTAGCATTTTGAATCTGTAGCTCCGCCTTCTTTTGAAAAGAGAGATGGGAGCATAATCTCATTTGCATTTAAAGCGACAGTGACCAAAACGACATATTTAGGATTAAAGCCTAAAGGGGGCAGATTCAAAGAGTTATAAAACATTAATTATGTGGTATTGTGAGCTGAAACTTCACATACACACTCTAGGGACATCAGAGATTTATTTGACATCTTGTAAAAATGGGTATAATAGGTACCCTTTAAATGTAAAAAAAAAATATATAATAAATTCTGAATGAAACTGACCTGCAGCAGTAAGGAGAAGTGCTTGATGGCTTCATCATACAGTCCGTTTCCAATAAGAACATAACCTATGGCTGAATTACAAACAAAGAGTGTTAGAGGCTTTCATTACACACAGACAAGTACACAAAAACACAAAACACAGCTGACACACACCGAGCTCTTCATTGGTATTTTGGTTGTCCACAGCGAAAGGAAACCGCCGCTGTTCGACAAACAACTTTGCCTGATTCTGCGGTGAAAGAAAGAGGGAGGAAAGAAAGGAAAGCATGTCAGGAAGTCTGTCAACCTCTTACAATCAATCCAACCAAAGAGTGGATGGAAAAAACAATGCAAAGACATCCATAATAACAGAGGACGAGGAGGATAAACAACGCTTGTGCTACATAGGAAGTGTTTGGTTTTAGGTCAAAACTACTTCTCATCCCAATGTGTGTTTACAGTGTTTTAAGATCTAAATGCAGGTGTTTAAGGATAGGGTTCAGCTACAAATACACATTTTCTGCCATCATTTAATTACCTTCATGTAGTGTCATTTCAGAACCTGTATGACTTTCTTCCATAAAAACACAAACGTACAATATCGGATTGATAAAATGGATAAATGTGATCAAAATTTAAATTGTGCTTATTTTCCAATGTAAAAGTTAACCGTGCCAGAAACTAGTAAGATTATAATGAACTATAACTATCAGGGTGTAATAATCTAGTAAATTGTAAAAACTTAAGCTTTTTCCAACTTTTTCCAGCAACCAAAACAATTAATTTAGTTACCTTAATGTACTTATTTTACTAAAACTAATAATAATAATAATAATAATAATAATAATAATAATAATAATGAAAATGGGTAAAAATAAAATAAAAAGTTGATTTAAAAAGTAAAGTAATTGAAATGACAACTTTAAGTATTATTATTATTATTATTATTATTATAGTCAAACCTGAATTACAACTAACACAGAACATGTCAAAATAAAACTTTTATATTTTGCTAACTTAATGTATTTAAATAAATACATCAAACAAAATTATATACAGAAAAAATATCAAAATATAAATAAATATCTAAAAGAAATATAGATAGAGATATAAAGGGAAGAAATTAAAACGACAACCTATATATATTGTTATTTAAACTTCAACTAAAATGAACACAGAAAATAAAACATGAAATAAAAAAACTAAATAAAATCATGTTTATATAAATGAATGTACTTAAATAACTAAAACAAACAAAAATACAAATAAAATAATAAAAAAATTATATAACATATATATTCTATAAAAATATGTATACAACAGTTCTCAACAATTCTGATTGGCTGATAGCCGTGCAATAATCTGCAATAACAGCATTCTGCATACACCCTTGTGTATTACTCCTCCCACATAGAGCGACAGATGTTGGACAACATAATGTACTTGTGAGACTTTTTTTTTAGGTGAGAATGTAGTTGTTTAGATTGCAACTGTGTAGCTTACTTACAACTATAGAGCCTATTTTAAATATTGATTATTTCTGAAATCGGTGGCCATCAGCCTGTCATACTGAGCAAAGACGGTTGAGTCACAAGATGGTGACAGAGACCGCATGATAAGTCCTTAGCGGAAAAAAAAACTTTTCTTTTCATATTTCAAACTACATCTGACAAAATCATTATTAAACTGGAAAGTGACTTTCTAAATCGATCTCTCTCTTTTGTATGCTGTAGTGCTGTATTTATATCACAGTAATCTGGTAGTGTTTGCTTTGCTTTGGCTTTTTCGGTGTTAATTATTGTGAAATCTCAATTGCACCAGAGAAATTTATTGAAATCTCTGTAGACTGATGGTATTTCATGCAGTTCAGCCTTATAATCTTAAAATGTCAGCAAAATCACCTGTTCTGTCATCACTTTAGACATTATGCTAAAGAATCATTCAAAATACTAGCTCTACAGTGACGTTGGTAAATGAGCAACTGTTTCTGCTGTTCTGCCGGTCAGCTGCAGATGTGAATGAATGGCGGAAGGAAGTAGTTCCTCATACA